ACGGCACGGCACGGGAGGGCACGGCAGAGATGGCAGTGACAGGAGTGACACTGGCACGGCACTGACATGGGTGACGCCAGCACAGAATAGCACAGCACGGCACGGCACGGCACAGCAGGGCAGAGCAGGGATGGCAGTGACACCCCAGGGGTGTCACCAGCATGGGACAGGGCACGGCATGGCAGTGACACGGGTGACACCAGTGTGGAACAGCACAGCATGGCACGGCATGGCAGTGACACGGGTGACACCAGTGTGGGACTGCAGGGCACAACATGGCAGTGACACAAGTGCCACCACCGTGGAACAGGGCAGGGCATGGCAGTGACAGGGGTGACACCACCACGGAACGGGGCACGGCATGGCAGTACACACCTGGGGACACCTGGGGGACACCTGGGAACATCTGGGGACATCCAGGGACACCTGGGGACACTTGAGGACATCTGGGGACATCCCACGCACACCTGGGGTCTCACAGTTTCCCAGCCCGGGACAAGAGCAGCTTTGGGGTCAAATCCGGGGGAATTGGGGTTCAGCCAGGCCAGGACCCTCCCCCCCCCAGTTTTTTCCCTTTTTCCCCATTTTTCACCCCAAAAGGGGTTTTTTTCGACCAGCTCCATGTGCCGTGCCAGCTCTGTGTGCCGAACCAGCTCCACATGCTGGGCCATATCCACATGTAGGACCAGCTCCGTGTGCTAGACCAGGTCCGTGTGCCGAACCAGCTCTGTGTGCCAGGCCATATCCACATGTGGGACCAGCTCCATGTGCCGTGCCAGCTCTGTGTGCCGAACCAGCTCCACGTGCCAGGCCATCTCCACATGTGGGACCAGCTCTGTGTGCCGAACCACCTCCTCCCGTGGGACCCCCTGCGTGCTCGGCGCCGGTTGCGTGCTCGTTCTGCCAGCACAACGGCGAGGCCCCGGGCGTGTACCAGAGCCACAGCCTGCGGGACGCCCAGGGCCGGCTGCAGTGCCCGGTGCTGCGCAGCTACGTGTGTCCCCAGTGCGGCGCCACGCAGGACCAGGCCCACACGCGCCGCTTCTGCCCCCGCACGCACCGCGGCTACACGTCCGTCTACGCGCGCCCCGCGCCCGCCGGCGGCGCCAGGAGGAGGCCGAGGGACGCCAGCATGTAGCCGAGGGACGGAGGAGCCTGTGTCACCGCGCAGGTACCGCTGGGGCCGGGTGTGCCACGCCCTGGATTGGGATTCCCGTGAGGAATCTCGAGATGGAGGGAAGGGGGAGCAGGGATGGAGGATGCCACATCCCCACGCGGGTTTGGGGTGTCCCAGCGATAGGGTGGCACATCCAAAGATGGGTTTAGCCAGATTCCCGTGAGGAATTTCATCAGGAAATCAGAGCTCTCAAGGGGAGGGCACCAGCAGACTGGTGGCAGGTGACACTGGGAAGCCACCGGAGGATGGAAGATCCCCTGTCCCCGTGCAGGTACTGAGGGTTTTCAGATCCTGGATTTAGGCAGGAACAGGATTTCCATGCGGGAATCTCACCAAGGAGCCAGAGCTAAAGGAAGGAGGAGGCACTGGGAAACAAGTGACAAGAAGGAAGGAGCCATGGATTTATCCAGGACGGGATTCCTGCAGGAATCCCTCCAGGAATTTGGCACTAACCATGGGGTACATGCTGCTGCTTCCCTCCCGGTGCTCCTGCCTCTCTCTCCTGGCTTCTCTTCCAGGGACTTCTCCAGAGGATGAGACTACGGCGTGGAGCTCGACTGGGACCAGTCTTGGAGCTCCACTGGGACCAGTTTGCCCAGTTTGTGCCGCCTCCCGACGCCGTGGCACCCGCAGGAGTCGTGGCACCCCAGATCTGGGTGCTGCCAGCGGGGCCAGCTCTGAGTTTTGGGTTCTGAGTTTCTGGGATGGGGAGGAGTCCCTGGGTCCCAGTTTGGGATGGGGAGGGGTCCCTGGATCCCAGTTTGGGATGGGGAGGGGTCTCTGGGTCCCAGTTTGGGGCCATCCCAGTTGTACCTTCTCCGCTGGGAGCTCTGGGCTGGTCCCTTCCCGCTGGGGCTCGGTGCCGGTGGCTACTGGCTCTGACCCCGCTGTGGCCATCCTGGCACTGCCACCCTGGCAATTCCTGCTCTCTGCGCCCCCTCCACCGCTCCGGGCACCTCGGGGACCGCCTGGTGACCCCGTGTCCGTCCCCAGGGCGATGCCAGTGCCACATCCCCCCTGCAGGGCACCTTCCTGCCCCTCTCCCGCTGCGTCCGCCACCTCCGGGCTTCCCTCGGGGGCCGCGTCCCTCGCCGTGTCCTCGTGGGCTCCAGAGCCCCCCGCCTCTGCTGGTCCCAGCTCGTTCTCTCCTGTTCCACCCAAAATTCCCAGGCTGGGAATTTCCCAGTTTGGCTCTGGCTGCTCCTCTGCTGCCCCATCTGCCTCTGGAATTCCAGGTTTTGGTGATTCCAGCGGATCCTCTCCCGTTCCATCCAAAATCCCCATTTTTAGTGATTTCAGCTGCTTCTCTGCTGCCCCATCCGCCTCTGGAATTCCTGGTTTTGGTGATTCCATCTGCTCCTCTCCCGTTCCATCCAAAATCCCCATTTTCAGTGGCTCCAACTGCTCCTCTCCTGCCCCATCCGCCTCTGGAATTCCTGGTCTTGGTGATCCCAGCTCGTTCTCTCCTGTTCCACCCAAAATTCCCAGGCTGGGAATTTCCCAGTTTGGCTCTGGCTGCTCCTCTGCTGCCCCATCTGCCTCTGGAATTCCAGGTTTTGGTGATTCCAGCGGATCCTCTCCCGTTCCATCCAAAATCCCCATTTTTAGTGATTTCAGCTGCTTCTCTGCTGCCCCATCCGCCTCTGGAATTCCAGGTTTTGATGATTCCAGCGGATCCTCTCCCGTTCCATCCAAAATCCCCATTTTTAGTGATTTCAGCTGCTTCTCTGCTGCCCCATCCGCCTCTGGAATTCCTGGTCTTGGTGATCCCAGCTCGTTCTCTCCTGTTCCACCCAAAATTCCCAGGCTGGGAATTTCCCAGTTTGGCTCTGGCTGCTCTTCTCCTGCCCCAAACGCCTTTGGAATCCCTGGTTTTGCTGATTCCAGCCGCTCCTCTCCTGTTCCACCCAAAATTCCAATTTTCGGTGGCTCCGGCTTCTCCTCTCCTGTTCCATCAAAAATCCCCATTTTCAGTGGCTCCAGCTGCTCCTCTCCTGCCCCATTTGCCTCTGGAATTCCTGGTTTCACTGGCTCTGGATGTTTCTCTCCATCCACCTCCAAAATTTCTGGTTTTGGTGTTTCTAGCAGATCCTCTCCTGTTCCATCCAAAATTCCCATTTTTAGTGATTCCAGCTGCTCCTCTGCTGCCCCATCCACCTCCAAAATCTCTGGTTTTGGTGTTTCCAGCTGATCCTCTGCTGTTCCACCAAAAATGCCCATTTTTAGTGGCTCCAGCTGCTCTTCTCCTGCCCCATCCACCTCCAAGATTCCCAGCTGAGATGACTCCAGCTGGTTCTGCCCCATTCCATCCAAAATTCCCATTTTGAGTGACTCCAGCTGTTCCTCTCCTGCCCCATCTGCCTCAGGAATTCCTGGTTTTGGTAATTCCAGCTGATCCTCTGCTGTTCCACCAAAAATTCCCATTTTTAGTGGCTCCATCTGCTCCTCTCCTGCCCCATCCACCTCCAAAATTGCCGCTTTTGGCGATTCCCCACAATTCTCTCCTGCCCCATCCAAAATTCTTGGTTTTGGTGACTCCAGCTCATCCTCTCTTGCCCCATCTGCTTCCAAAATTCCCAGCTGGGGTAATTCCAGATGATTCTCTTCCACCCCATCGGAAATGCCCTGTTTTGGTGATCCCAGTGCTCTGCCACCTCCAATTTTCTCATCTCTCCCTTCCTGTAAAATCACGTTAACCCCAATTTGGGGAGTTTTTCCCTCTGCTGGGATCTTGGGATCCATCCCGGCAGGATCTCCGTGCTGTAAAGCGCGAGGTGTTGACAGCGGCCGGCGGAGCAGGAAGTGAGTGCGGATAAACCGGGACAAACCGGGATAAACCGGGACAAAACGGGTTAAACCGGGATAAACGGCAGCACCGGCATCGGGGGGTGAGGCCTGCGGACAGCTGGGGGGTGACGGCGCCTTGTGGGGTGCTCTGGGAGGCGGCAAAAGGCGCGGTGGGGCCTTGTGGGGCGCGCCCGGGGCCTTGTGAGGAGCGGGGGGCGCCGAGATTTCTGGGGGGCTCTGAGGGGGATCGGGGCGCTAAAGGCGGCTCGGAGGGGCTCGTGGGAAGCCGAGGGTTTAAATCAGGGCGGGGGTCTGCCCGTGTTCCCCCTCCCCAGCTCGGCCCGGCGGGACGCGGAGCCATGAGCCGAGCCAGGAGGGCCCCGGGCCGGGGGGCGGCCATGGCCAGGCAGGTGCGTGTGACCCCCCCGGGACCCCCTGCTCTGGCTGCCGGGGGGTCCCAAGCTCCCCTCCTCCCCTCCAGCACTTTGGGGGATCCCTGGATCCCCTCCTGGGGGTCCCTGGATTCCCTCCGGGGGGTCCCTGGATTCCCTCCGGGGGGTCCCCTGAGCGCTGCCGCCCCCTCCCCAGATGGGGCTGCTGGCGGATCCCGGTGCCGGGGGCAGCCCGGGCGGTGCCGGCGGTGCCGGGGACGCGGCGCTGGAGGCGGAGCTGCTGCTGCTGCTGGGGGGCAGGGAGGCTCCGGAGCGGGGGGAGCCACCCTCGCCCCCCCAGCGAGGTAAATCCCCCTCCCCTCCCCTCGAACTGCCCCCCAAAGTCGGTTTGTGATCCCCCCCCCGTTCCCCCCCAGATCTGGCAGCGGTGGAGGCCCTGGCCCGGCTCTGCCTCCGGGACCCCCCGGAGGAGGAGGAGGAGGAAGGGGAGGAAGATCTGGAGAACGAGGAGGAGCTGCTGGTGAGGGGGGAGGTGCTGGGCTTGGGTTTTGGGGTCCCCAAGATGGTATTGGGGTCCGCGAGGCTGTGTTTTGGGGTCCCCGAGGTGGGTTTGGGGTCCCCGAGCGGGTTTTGGGGTCCCTGAGGCTGTGTTCTGGGGTCCCCGAGGGGGTTTTGGGGTCCCCGAGGGGGTTTTGGGGTCCCCCAGCGGGTTTTGGGGTCCCCGAGGCTGGTTTTGGGGTCCCCGAGCGGGTTTTGGGGTCCCCTGAGCTGGTTTTGGGGTCCCCGAGCGGGTTTTGGGGTCCCGCCCAGGCTGACTCCCGGCCCCCGTGCAGGCAGAGCTGCAGGAGGTGCTGCAGGAGGGGCCGGGGAGCGCAGACGAGGCAGAGACCCCCCAGGTACGGCCAGGCTGCACCCAGGGGACATCCCTGTGCCATCCCAGTGCTCCCAGTGCTCCCAGTGACCCCGTGTCCCGGTGTTCCTGGTGTCCCGGTATTCCCGGTGTTCCCGGTGCTCCCAGTGCTCCCAGTGACCCCGTGTCCCGGTGTTCCCGGTGCTCCAAGTGTTCCCAGTGTTCCCAGTGACCCTGTGTCCCGGTATTCCCGGTATTCCCGCTGTCCCCGGTGCTCCCGGTATTCCCGCTGTTCCTGGTGCTCCCGGTATTCCCGCTGTCCCCGGTGTTCCCAGTGACTCTGTGTCCCGGTATTCCCGGTGTTCCCGCTGTCCCCGCTGTTCCCGCTGTTCCCAGTGACCCTGTGTCCTGGTATTCCCGGTGTCCCGCTGTTCCCGATGTTCCCACTGTCCCCGCTGTTCCCGGTGTCCCCGGTGTCCCCGGTATTCCCAGTGTCCCCGGTGCTCCCGGTATTCCCGGTGTCCCCGCTGTTCCCGGTGCTCCCGGTATTGCCGCTGTTCCCAGTGACCCTGTGTCCTGCTGTTCCCGGTATTCCCGGTGTCCCCGGTGTCCCCGGTATTCCCGGTGCTCCCGGTATTCCCGGTATTCCCGGCGCTCCCGCTGTTCCCGCAGGATCCCGGCCCCGCGGGCGCGCTGCTGGCCGAGCTGGAGGAGCGGGCGGAGCTCTACCGGGCCGCCCTCGGCACCGCCGGCACCGGGAACGGGAACGGGAACGGGGCGCGGCTGCGGCGCCTCCAGCGCGGCCTCAAGGTGAGCCGGGCCCCTCAGAGCCGGACTGGATCGATCTGCCCCTAAATCAACCCGGGGATACCCCGGGTCCTGCTGGGGTCCCGAAACGGAGCAGCTTGTCACACTCCTGAGCCAGTTTTGTGCTGTTTTCCCAGTTCTGAGCCCGGTTTTATCTGAATTTTCCCAATTCCGAGCCCAGTTTTATCTGACTTTTCCTAGTCCTGAGCCCAGTTTTATCTCTCACCCCATTTTCCCCCATTATTTCCCCATTTCCCCCCATTCTTCCCCCATTTCCCCCCGATTTTCCCCATTCTCCCCGTTTTTCCCCCCATTTCCCCCCGATTTTCCCCATTCTCCCCGTTTTTTCCCCAGACCCTGGAGCAGCTGCTGCGCTCTGTCCGGAGCGGCAAGCCGATCGACCGCGCTGACATTCCTCCTCCTGTGGCTCTGGGCAAGCCCGGGGGGACCCCTGGGCTGCCTCCCCCCGCCAGCCCCGAGCCCCCCGTGCAGCCCCCTGCCCCTCCAGGGCCTCCCCCAGCCCCGGAGCCCCCCCGGGACCCCTGCCCCGCGCTCCGCCTGCGCCTGCAGGAGCTGCAGAGGGAGGCCGTGCTGGCCAGACGCCGTGGGGACAACGCCACCGCCCTGGGCCACTTCAGGGCGGCCAAGGTACCCCCAGAACTGCCGGAATCTCCCCCAAAATCCCCTCCGCTTCCCCAAAATTCCCGTCTTCCCTGTGGTTTTCCAGAGGCTGGAGGCGCAGCTGGAGGCGCTGGGGCGAGGCCCTGCCGCCGGTGAGACCCCGACCCCCTTGGAAAGAAAGGGTGGGACCCCCATTTTGGGGTAGAAACCCCTCGTTTTGGGGGTCCTGGTGGGATCTGGGTGTTCCTTTCCTGCAGATCCCCAGGCTGAGGAGACGAGGGATCCACCAGGGAAGGATCCACCAGGGAAGGATCCACCGGCCTCCAGCCCAGGTCAGCTCCCTCCTGGCAGGGGCAGCGGGCAGGAAAAGGGGGATTTGTTGGGATTTTGGTGTTTCCCCCCCAGAGGCGCCCCGGGACGTGCGGGAGGCGCTGGAGCAGCGCATGGAGCGGTACCGGGTGGCCGCGGGCCAGGCCCGGGCCAGCGGGGACGCCAGGAAGGCCAGGATGCACGAGAGGATCCTCAAGGTGGGAGCAGCGGGACCCCGGCGTGGGGCACGGGGCAGAGCGGGGTCCCTGTCCCAGATCCATGATCCAGTCCAGAGCTGGGATCCCAGAGCTGAGATCCCTGTCCTGTGATCCCAGTCCAGAGCTGCATCCCAGATCCTGTGATCCCAGTCCCAGATCCATGATCCAGTCCAGAGCTGGGATCTCGGTCCTGTGATCCCAGTCCCAGATCCATGATCCAGTCCAGAGCTGGGATCTCGGTCCTGTGATCCCTGTCCTGTGATCCCTGTCCAGAGCTGGGATCCCAGAGCTGAGATCCCAGTCCTGTGATCCCAGCCCAGAGCTGCATTCCAGACCAGTGATCCCAGTCCCAGTCCCATGATCCCAGTCCCAGATCCATGATCCCAGTTCAGAGCTGGGATCCCAGTCCTGTGATCCCTGTCCTGTGATCCCAGTCCAGAGCTGGGATCCCAGGATGGGGGCCCAGGGCAGAGCGGGGATCTCAGTCCCAGTCCCATGATCCGTGATCCCAGTTCAGAGCTGGGGTCCCAGTCCTGTGATCCCTGTCCAGAGTTGCATCCCAGAGCTGAGATCCCAGTCCCAG